AAAAGACATAAGCAACAGTCAGCATCCATCCTCACCATTGCTGTGGACCCCAAAGACTATAGTCAACGCAACAAACCTTGAAATGCGTCTCCACGGTACTTTTATTTTCCGCGGTTAAGCTCTTAATCATGATCTTTGTCGTACGATTGTCAACGTTGTATTTGCCTTTATAACCACCTCTTCCACCACCACGACCTCCACGGTAGGATGAATATCCACCTCTCCCGCCTCGAGTTGATGCGGTGACTTGATTCGGATCAATACCCAAAGCGGCAGCCTACATTCAGAAGTCCAACAATCATGTAAGGTAAAGCGGGAGGGAACAGAAATCAACCACAAAGCAAATAATACCTCGGATCTTAACTTTTCCATAGTCTCTTTTAATGCATCTGAACCTCCAGACGTATTTATCTGACTGATCATATCTAATTCCCTGTCTAACCTTTCCTTTTCCTTTTCCTCGGCGGCTTGTTTCGCAATTGTGGATTTGGGGGCTCCGACGGAAGCAACAGCAGCGGTCGCGGCTTTCATACCAGCAGTCAGATCTTTAACGGTTGCATCAATGGCTTTTAATCTCGTCATTATCAGTTTCTTCTCCGCCGCATCCTTCGTAGATTCCAATTTTGCCATAAGACTTTTCTGAGATTCTAGATGCTTTTCTACTAATTCTCTCTTCTGCTTTTGAATATCTAAAAGTTTTGATATTTGTTCGTCTTTTCGCTTCTTCGCTTCAATTTTAGCGGCTACTTCTTCTTCAATCTGTTGTTGGCGCTGCTCAGGTGTGATTTGAGAAATAGTTGAAGGGCCCTGATGCGTAGTTTCAAATGGGGGTCGGGTGGGAGGGGAAACATGAGACGAGGATGGAATGTGGCGAGGGACCGGGCTGGCACCATGTTTATCGGGATTATGATAGTATACTTTGACAAATCGGTTACCAAAAATAACATCTGGACAGTCATATGCGGCTGCGGCTTCTTCAACCGTACCGAACGCTACAATAGCTTGTTGATACTGAGGATTAAGTTTGATATTGACTATGTTGCCGAATTTTTGAAAGAAATCGTTCACAGACGGAATATTGCATTTCTCTGCTGGTATCTTTTCAACCACTAAACTCTTTGACACGGGTTGATTGTGAGGTCTAACGGCACCTCTGCCTCGACCATGAAAGTGTTGTGGTGGACGGCCAGCTCCTACGCCAGGTGGACCACCCATGATGGGACCTCCACGGCCCATTGAGGGAGGGCCCGGCGGTGGCATGAATCGACCTCCTTCCGGATTTGGGGTTAAACCAATTATTGTCTCCTGTCCACCCATCATGGGCGGCCGCTGCATCATTGGACGGTGACCCATCGGGGGTCGCATGAAACCATGAGGCAAAGGTCGTCCAGGAGGACGCATCATGCCAGGCGGCATCATGTACGGCGGTCTCTGCATGTCTTCAACTATAATGGGATTTGCGTGGATATACATACAGCTGTCGCCGCGTCGACAATACCCTTTTTCTGCAAGAGACAACAAGGTTGTTAGGGCGGAGAGTGAGCAGAGAACCTACTTTTGACTGAAAACCTACCATCGAAATCTCGACATCTGCCCTTCTTCTTTGGCATGCCGCCATAGGGATGTCCTGGCAAAGGTCGTCCGTTAAATCGGTCATTTCTGGGAAGCGAGTCACGAAGGTCTCGCCTTCCGCCATTTTCAAAGTCTCTGTGACCCGGCCTCCTCTGTTGGCCTTGTCTCCTTCCGTTTGACTCTGAAGCACCGAGTATTCCGTCTGATCTATCCGACGGACCACTCGACAATGTTGGAATATTATGCGTGACGGCAATATCAGCACCATTAGATGGAGCGGGCTGTGCCTGAGTGGGCTCTTGTTGGTGCCGTTTGGACGATCTTTCGTCTTCGATGTCGTCCGATTCTCTTTGACGTCTGCGGTTTTCTGACTGCTGGGAAACTAGGTTAGATGCTGTCTGTTGGGTGGATTGTTGGACGGGTTTCCGCTGCGGTGACTTTGGAGGAGCAGCAGGTCGAGGGGGTTGTGATTTAGAGAGATATGATTTACTGTTTATAGCGGTGAAGAGATGAGAAATGAAGTCGCTTGTCGCTATATAGATTCATGACAAAACACACGGAAGGGTCCAGTTAAATTCACGAGCGAAAGTTGACCGATCAAATTAAACAAGGATGCAATAGAGCCCAAACAAGTAAAGCGTTGAACTGTAGAAGATTACAGAGTGCGCCTTTTACAGCTTGTTTTCATACAAACCTTTTCCCAAAAAATCATTTAGCTCATTTATGCAAAAAGTCTTTAGTTCATTCTGTGGTTTATCATGCTTGAGCAACGCAATAATATAATCGGCTAGGACTTGCGGATCCGCTTCGCATTCGTCACTAATATCAACAAGCAGAACATTGCACAGTCAATAATTGTATTCATTCAATGGCAGAGCTCTTCCTGATCAGCATGATTAAGGCAAACGCTAATGATGTGGGTGCCACAACAAAGGTATCACGAAGTACAGGTACATCTTGAATCCAAACCCAAACAAGAGCTAAGTAAGCGAAATAAGAGTAGAAACAGATTTATACATTGTAGATAGTCTCTTGATGATGTAGTCTTTTAGTTCTGGAGATTCTTCAATCATTGGAGGTAGCAGGGAGGTTCGATTGACAACAATAGGGAGGATGAGGTGGCGTGTTTGCGAGTTGTAGCAAGCGAAGGTGAGGGGAGTGGGATGTTGTCAGAGGACAGGGAGAATGGCTGGGCGGGATCGAGGGTGGCTATGAAGAGTGTAGAAGGAAGGATGGATGGATACAGATGGATGGATATAGATGGATATGGATGTATGGATGGATATGGATGGATGGATGGATAGTGTGCTGTGTACAGAGAGGGAACAGTCACAGTGTCACGCGGTGGCTTCCATTCCTTCGATTCTTGCGCTTCCTGTGCGCACCACTTCCAACTCGACTCCATCTCCAATTCCACTTTTATCTCCACCCCCACCTCTGTGCTCCTCTCGGCCGCAACTCCCCCTTCCTCCCCTCTGCACACCCTCTCTCCCTCCCTCCCTCCTCCACACTCCACATCCCTCCACACACACACACACTCTCTCTCACTCACACTCCAGCAATGTCAGACGACAAGCAAATTGGTCTGGGCCTGGCAATAGCCTCGAGTGTACTCATTGGTACTAGCTTCATCGTCACTAAAAAGGGTTTGATAGACGCTACAAAGAAAACTGGTAATGTCCTCCTCAATTCACCTCACTTCACGCTCATCTCGATACCAATTCTAAACTCTAAATTCTCCCGCTACTTTAAACGCTCTATTACTTCATATTCGCTCACAACGATGTAATCTAATTTAGTCGGGAATGCTGGAGATTCATATACGTACTTGAAGAATAAGAAATGGTGGGCTGGAATGATAACAAGTGAGTGTCCAGTGATAATGTCGACTCTTGCCAAAAGCTTTCGTTAACTAATTACGAATTGAATTTGTGTTTTCGCTACAGTGGTTTTTGGAGAAGCCGCTAATTTTGCAGCATATTCGTATGCACCAGCTATTCTAGTCACTCCATTAGGTGCGCTGAGCGTATTAATAAGGTGCAGTTTTTTCTTTCAGATATTTAACAAAACCTGTGGATACTCATATCTCAATTGTTATTAGTGCGGTGCTAGCATCAATATTTCTGAACGAAAAATTAGGAAGAGAAGGTATTATGGGATGTGCCCTTTGTATAATAGGGTCAGTAGTAGTTATACTACACGCACCAGAAGAAAAAGTTATCGACTCTGTAGATGAAATGTTGCATTACGCTCTGCAACCAGGTTTGTAGAAATTCTGTCTTTTATAATCGTTTTTAGAGTTCGGGAAATACTGACAAAGTCGCGATATTAGGCTTCATGTCATATGCCTTCTTCGTCACTGCTCTGTCACTTATACTTATTTATAAAATCGCCCCTAAATACGGCAAGCAAAATATACTAGTCTACGTCTCAATTTGCTCCCTTGTCGGCTCCATTTCCGTCATGGCAGTCAAGGGTTTTGGTGTCGCTCTCAAATTAACATTCGAAGGCAACAACCAGCTAGTTTACCCATCGACATACGTTTTCGCTCTAGTTGTCGGTGTCTCCGCCATCACTCAAATGAACTATTTCAATAAAGCATTAGATATTTATTCTACGAATCTGGTCACACCTCTCTATTATGTCTTCTTCACCTCAGCTACTATATTAGCTTCGGTTGTATTATTTCAAGGGTTTAATGAGTCGAGTGGAAAGGATGTTGTTTCAGTATTTTCGGGATTCTTTACAATTTTCATGGGCGTGTTCCTTTTAAATAGTCACAAAGGTGAAACTAGCCCTGTCTTGCTGGAGAAACATCACAACGGTCGAAGTATCTTGGTGTCGGAAAGTCATATGATGACTGCATTCGACGAAGAGAATTTAGGACTCGCGTTGACAGATGAAGAAGATGATTGATATCGTTTCTAATGATAGATTTATATCAAGACGACACGATCGTAAAACTACATGTGCAAAGGACGTTTGCGCTGCTACTCGTTATTGCGTTTCACCTAATTTAACACTCAAAAGAACTCCCCTTAATATCAAGTTATCCATGAAAATTGGGACGGTAAACTTCCTTGTAAATTTTCCCTGCAGGACAGACAGACAAAAGTTACAAAAGATAGGAAAAAAAAATGTTTCAACGCCTGCCCTTATTTTTGTAGAATATCAAATGTAATAATAGTATGGACGTTAATGAATGGATAATTCTTGGCTTGGACCGATCATAATTGTAACCTGGCAACTGTACCCTGTCAGACACGACTTTCTGTCTGTATTTACGCTAGAGGAACCAAGAATAAGATTGTGGATTTTTATTCGCTTTGATTTGTAAAGTTGCTGTTGCGCCCAGAAAAAGTCGAGCATGTTGCTAATCGATTGTGAAGCAACAATAAAAGGGCAGTAAATAACCTATGCAAAAGTTATGCGTAAGCGGGGAGTCGAACCCCGGCCACTTGCTTGGAAGGCAAGTATTCTACCGCTATACTACTTACGCTTGTTACAAACTTCACTATCATTAAGCCATATATAACTATATTTCTGCTACCTTCTCCACAGCAAAATATCGTTATTTCATCTCAACTCATCTTCAGCTTCTGCCGCATCCATCTACACAGTTCCATAGATTCATATACGACTCATCCATTGTTCTATAACAATTACAATGACACATTTTCTATTACTGAAACATTTTTGATAGACAGATTTCATTTATAAATTGTCACTGGAACATTGTAAACCGCCTGATCAGTTGTTCTGCATCTGTAGCCATAACTCTCATTATTGCTGGTCTGTGGAAGAAAGTATTTGTGCTTCACAGGTTGAATGCACGGACGTTGTAGAGAGGAATTAGTAAATTGTGATTGAAATATTGAGGTGGTCCCAAAACAATTGTAGCTGGAGTGAGTGGAACTTTGAGATAGGTTGTATAATTGTTATATAATTGTTGAATGGAAGTCAGTCGTTAAGAGTTGTCGGGCCTGGCGCGATGCGAGTCTGAATTCATGATAGGAATATCTCTCACAGATACAGTCTCTTTAATTTAATATTGCGGAACGTTTAACCGAATTGTGATATGCCGCAGAAGAAAAGACAGAGACAGCGGCTGGGAGCAGAGTTGTGGGGAATTGTGGAACATAGTTTTTAGCGTGGACGAGAGATCGGAAGAATTCGGCCCATCGTGTTTTCGGGCAGTCAAACGATTCCGAGCTTCCGTCCCTCAGAATTTACATCTGCCGTAAATACTGCCAAGCTATATCGTCTTCCTCTGTCTTTCAGTCAATATGGCATCTCCCGCTACGTATGCGCACTCTTTCTCTCTGCTCTTAAGAACCACGTTAGGACTAACACCTTTATCCCTATAATTTCGGCGGTACTCTGACCTTGACTACTGCTTTGACACTCATACAGTCCCAGCGACACTCTAACTATTACGGATCCCCAAACCGGTACTACAATCACTGTACCAATTGATACAAAGCATAACACCATAACAGGATCTTTCCTTAAACAACTGAAAATTGCACCCACCAACCCCCCGGCCGCATCTGAAAATGATAAGGTCCCGTGTGTTTTATATGGTTTGTATCTGTTTCATTTCCAACTTAAGATATGTAGTCTAGCAATGAGGTAGTACCGAGGCAGAGGAGAATGAGTGAGGAGATTATTGTGTGATGACATTCGGAAAGGATTGATTTTGTTTTGAATTCGCGCGAAACAAGTTATACATTGCATATTCAAGGAGGAGGGACATTTGTTTTTGATCGAATTGCATCGAATATAAGACTATTCTAACGTTTTCGTCATATCTTGATTTATGTTATCTCCCGTATTTTGCGCCTCAATGATCATTGAAACAAGACCCCGGCTTCTTAAACACCACCGCCTGTAAATCCAAAATATCAATGGTCAGCGCCCAAGGAAAGTTATACTATCGTGGCTATAGTATTGAAGAACTCTGTGAAAACAGTACATTTTTGGAAGTTGCATATTTATTGGTTAATGGCGAACTACCGAACAAAGTATGATTTTACTTTACTTCAAAATGATCTCTCCGGCCGCTGGTCAAGGGAGCTGTGAATGAACGATTTAATAATCTGAATCTCTTTCAGAACGAGTACGAAAATTTTGCGCATCAAGTGATGCATCATACTTATATTACGACTGAGGTGGAAAGACAATTGGCTACCTTTCGCTATGATTCTCATCCAGTAAGTGTTATTGCCGTGAAAGGTTATGTTGTTGAGCTATGTTGAACAACCCTAACTGATCACAATGTAGATGGGGATGTTGATTTCTACAACTGCTTCTCTTTCAACTTGCTATCCCGAAAGTAATCCTGCTTTAGCTGGTATGCTTTCCTTTGCCCCTTTGTCTGTGGGTATGGTGATACAGGTCATAACCTCACCTTTCAATTCACGGATTTAGGGGATGCGCTTTACATCGCTGGACCGCGAGAAAATCTTCGTTGTCGCTACCACCTTCCCGATTCCAACCACGAACTTGAGCCTCCATCTCTACTCAAAATCCGCGATCACGTTCGAAGTAAACAAATTTGGCGTATCCTCGGTAAACTTCCGACATTGGGTGCAAACGTTTACCGCCATCGCATGGGTCGCTCATATAACGCTCCCATGCCGGGTAGCTTGAACTATGTCGAGAATTTCTTGTATATGTTGGATAAATTGAATGAAGAGAATTATACACCTGATCCTGTGTTGGTGAAGTCTTTGGATAAAATGTTTATTTTGCTTGCCGGTAAGCATTCGAACAATAACTCCTCAATATCAATTTCATTTGTGCGTTCTATCTTGAAATTAACCACTGTCAATTCTCATAATGTTAGAGGGCGGTTCAAGCTGTAGTACAATCACAATGCGACATTTAGCGTCGTCCGGGGTAGATCCTTATTCTGCTATTTCTGGGGCATGTGGTACTTTATTTGGGGAGAGAAAATCATCTGCTGTAGTGTGGATGTTGGAAAATCAAGTCAAAAATGTAGACAATATTCCCGCGTTCTTGGATAAATTGAAGAAAAGGAAAAGTTTCATGCCCGCCGACAATGACAAAGAAAACGGTGGTGCTGGTGTGCCGAAGGGAATGAAAGAGGAACCGCCAATGAGATTGATGGGCTTTGGGTATGTTTTTGATTCTTTTAATTTTCGAGGCCGTGATATTCAACTAATACTTTGTGACCATATTTATAGTCATCGTATTTACAAAACACACGACCCGCGAGTCAAAATTGTCAAAGACCTTGCTCTTGAGGTATGCAAACTTTTTCCGCCAGTTCGCTGCTCTTACTAACCCTCATCATCAATTGACAGCTCTACAGTTACCTCCACCCCAATGCCCCACCACCACATGAACCTTCGTCTCATTTAATTCATTTAGCGTTAAAACTTGAAGAAGCTGCCTTATCAGATCCGTATTTTGCAAATAGATCGTTATACCCCAATATCGATTATTGGAGTGGTTAGTTGACTTTTTGTTTTCGCTATATCCTCATGATCGTCCTAATCCATTTTTCCTCGATTTCTTTAACTTCTCTGGACAGCAATCGTGTTCCACACTCTTGGTTTTCCGCCTGATATGTTCCCCGTGTTGACTTGTATTCCTCGGGCGGCCGGGTACTTGGCCCATTGGATTGAGAGTATTGATGATAAAGAATACAAAATCTACCGTCCTCGTCAGGTTTGTGTTCCTTATCATTCCTTTGGATGCGCTTCAGCGAAGTGTATCTGGAAAGAGATATTCGAAGACAACGTTATTTATTATTTGTTTGCAGCTGTATCAAGGACACACTGTCCGTAGTTACGTCCCCGTAACCGAACGAACTGTTGGCGGTGTCACTCGAGATTTGTCTGGTAAGTTTATCCGGCATTTCGTCTTCTACCCGCGAGATGTGATTTTTTCGCTTCCAATTCTTAATGTCACATTTGACTCATCTTTACCTTTTGCATACAGGTATCGGTTTAAAATCCAATCCCGCGGCTACTCTCCGACGAGCAGCCGGAGGAGGGTTAGAAGACTACGAATACGAAAGCGAAATTCAAACCCTCGGTGACCTACAAAACGTGGTACAAGCTACCCGTGAGAATATCCTAGAATTAGCCAAAAAATTAAGTGGAAGTTTAAACCTAAATTTTGAGGACGGCGAAGATACTGAAGACGGACGGGGAAGTCCAACCTCCAGTGGAAAATTAAAAGGATCACCTAAAAAGGGATTAGCGAGGAGAACATTAGACAGGATATTACACTCTGTGAAAGAAAATTCCGGTAAATCGAATTCATCGATGGTCGCTTCTTCCTCTTCTTCTACATTTTCAGCCAATACTACATCCACTGCAACATCCGTCGGCCCCGGTACATTTAAACGATCGGCTAGTTCAAAATCATTTGGAACAGGGTCCGGATCGGGATCAGGAACAACTTTGGAGTCTAAGGTTGCTAAAATTCAAGCCGTGGCGACGCAGATTTCGAATTTGCATAATGAGTTGCAGAGTTTATTAGCTAAACAAAAGGAATTATTGGAATTGCAAAAGGAAATGAGAGAAGAAGAACATATCAGTGATGTAGTCGATTTGAAAGGATTTTAGATCAAAAGTGCGGCGGTGAAAGGTTTGCTCGAAGAATTCTCGAATTGAAAATTAGTACAATGACAAATTCGATATCTGTATGATTGATGAAAAAGAATAGATGTTTTGTTTCAAAGTTGAATGGTAGCTTGCTAAAGGAATAATTGTGCTCCTTCCTACGAATGTAAATGATTCCCATATATTCTTATTGATTTTTGTTCTCCATATTTTTACAGTGGCTATTCCACACATATCCCTTTTTTCCATCGAGTTACATATAATACAAAAAGACAGACAACACAAATCCATTTATTATTTCGCTCAACCAATCACATAAATTGTTCTTAAAACGCACGAATGTCGAATTGAAATGATTGTTTCTCGGTTTCAAGGTTTGAATGACGGAGCGATGATGCAAGAGAATTTGTGACAGAAGCGGTTTGATATTTGAAAATAGACATAGAAGATAATGTCGAGAAAATCAAAGTGATTATGATATTCGAGGAAAGACGTAAATGATGTGTTGGATAACGATTTTGACCAGATAACCGAAAAATAAGAATAAAACTCGAAAATGACATCTATCTCTACCATTCCCAGGTCTATGTTTCCATATGATCTTCGTCCCCATTCTCTCCTTCCGGAGCACCTCGAATATATAAAACATTATTACATCTGTAAAATCGATAACGGTTAGTTCCTTTCAATATGGCCGCTCAGAGGCAAGAAGAATAACCCCAACAAAGAAAGTAAATCAGAGGTATAACAAGACTCAGATACACTACCTAATCAAGACTTCACCTAGTGTCCCTGTTGATGTGCCATCGATAAATTCTTCAGTGTTTGCAAGCTGTAGCGTTCATTTCATTTGTGTTTGTTGATATTGTGAAATGTGGTTTATCGGTGATTTGCGGTGGGC